ATTGACGAACGTGCGACGGAGGCTCTCAACCGACGATATGCTGCTGTAGCACAGGCATCGGCGACAGTGTTATTTCCTGAAAGTCAGATCTACGAGATCGAACTAGAACCAGTAGACAACGAAACAGGGTTGATCGACACGATCCGAGTTTACGTTGGTAGCTGTCTTACAACAGCGCAACATCGAACTGTGAGAGCAGTTTTGATTCATGCATGTGCAGCGTTTGACGATGCAATGTCTGGTACCAAGACGGCAGCAGACAATGTAATCGAAATCGGCAAACGACACGAAGAGGCTCCAGCGCCTACTGCAGAAGAACAACGACGGTTGACAACCATCTTGTCCTGGTATCGACGCAACGGGTTCGAGTTCCAAGAGGATTACCGGACACGATATGACCGGTCAGCGCTACAAGCGGAGTTGAGTCCGAAAGTGCAAGGTCTAGTAACATCGCTCCACGCATACACGCAACATCGACATCGCGATCACCGTGAGTACTTTGACCAGTTACCACCGGCGGCTTACGTGCAGCAGTATCTTACCGAGGCTGAACAGACAGCGTGGGATCGAATGCGGAGACCTGCTGCGACCTCAACTACCGCGCCGACGACCCAGACCTCCGGAGAGTCAGGTGCTGGTCAGCCAAGTGCTGCTGGTGCTGAGGCTGGGATGTTGCAGCAAGCAGACGGGGACAAGGCTGACGACGCCGTCGCAGCTGATCCACAAGTGGTTGATGCGAAGTTCACTGACGTCGATGATTCGACCTGGGGAATCACCAGTTCAGCTGAATTGTCAAATATCGTCAAAACAGACAAATTGGCTAAAGAATTATTTGACCGGGTGGACAAGGGCGAGGTTGGAAACAGCATCGCACCTGCCGGGTTGCCAGTCAAAGCTGAATATCATGACCTTGACTATGGATTGCACGACGGCGGTTTACCGATGTCTGTTCGCCGAGAAAGCACTGGGATGGACGTGGAAGACAACGAGCTACGGCAGTATGTTGTCATCGAGGCATGCGAACACGAGCGTCCTACGAACGCCGAAGACACTGACAGCGCAGACATATGGATCGAACGTGATTGTCCATGCAACTGTATACGGGTCTGCTTCCGAGGCACAGACGATACTATTCCCGACGGACTGTGGAATACGTTGGCGGAACATCGACGGTGTGGGTTATACTACTATTGGACCATCAGCGGTGCTGCGATTCCGGCCGCGCTAGACTCGTGGAGGAAGTATCGGGCGAGAAGCCCCAAGGCGGCCAACGCGTTCCGATTGCAGGCACTTGGTCACTTCGCGTTCTGTCCTACGGGTGAAGTGGACGATCAGATCCGGCACGGAGCCAACAGAGCGCAGTCGAACGTTCACGGAGATAACTTGAGGAAATTTGAAGCAATCGAAAAGGAGAACGACATACAGGTGACGGCCGAGCAACAGCAACTAACTGAACAACGGGTGCAGAGTTCTGCTACAGAAGCACTCGCTCGCACCGATGGAGACCGAAATCCATACTCGGCGGCTGATTACGGACTGACGACAGACGCTACAGTGGCGGCTGCAGTTTCTGCGGAGCCCGAGACAACGAGTATTGGTGAGACTGCGTGCATCTCGCAGTGTGACCGTGGAAATTCAGCTACCCCTACACTGCGATACGTAGCGCCACCTGCAGTCGTTTCTGCTCCGGCGACAATTATCAGCAACCGCAGCGTTACGGCTTTTGGAGAGCCGGAATATCCACCTGTCGACACACTGAGTTACCAGTGTAGCGCCACTTACCCTCAGGGCCGGTCACTGCAATTACTGACCGGAGCGTCGGACGAAGTCTTCACTATGGCGACTCGCGACGCTGACGGTCGAGTGGACCGCGTTGAACCGATGCCTGTCAACATGGACGAAGTGCTGGGAGCATACTATCTGAATGCGGAAGAACAAATGTCAGCCTGTGAAGAGGCTATAGCAGCACAAGATACAGATCCCCAGCCATGCCCTTTCCCGCTGGAGGGCGATAGTTGTGGTCTGGCCGTCACTGAGCAGCAGTGTCAGCAGCTGATGAGCAGCGAAGTGGATGAGCGATCAACACGTAGTGTTCTAGACGACGAGAATGCATCAATTGTCGACATGCTCGCGGAGATTGATCGGTTGCGGCGAGGCGGTGAACCGTCCTGCGACACTGACTATGGCTCGACAGGGCTGGAGGAGTGCACGTTGAACACGACTGCAGAGGAAGTGGAGACCCAAACTGAACTTTTCGGCCGAATGGAACTTGTTGTCCCTGCGGTGCTCGCGGAACTGCATGAACACTACGCGCGGTTGGGTGAAAGCCAGACCAAAAACGACAAACTCGACCGGCGACTACGTGACACAAGGTTGTTAGAGGTCGAGTATCGCAGACTGCTAGACGAACTCGAGGAAGAGTGCAAGGAGATCGATCGACAAAGCCGAGACAAATCGGACCGTGTCACGGGTGCTGACCGTGAGACCCAGACATTGTGCGCGGAATCGACCGACGCAAACTGTCAGAGCGGTGGACGTTTACTTGAAACTGCACGACAACGAGTAATTCGCGAACGGCGCGAGCGGACTGAAGCTCGACTCAATCCAGCCGCACAAGCAGATATATACGCATTGAGCTCAGTTGCGAATGTCGCTGCGCCGGCGGATGACGGTGTGGTGGTGACCTCGAGCCGCCCGAACACTCATCTCGCACGCGAGGTCCGTACTGACAGCCGGGGTGAGGTCAGGGAGGATTTACCGTACGACGACGCCATCGACTGGGCACGGGCTACACGCGGACCATTGGCCACCCTCACCAAGGACAGCAAGCTCACATTGCGAGATGTTCTGAAGGAGCATCGACGGAACCTTTGTTCGTCGGCCGCTAGATTGGATTACTTCTTCAATCACTGCACTAGTCACAAAGTGAGCAAGGCGGAAATACTGCAGGCGATCAGTTACTGTCCAGATTGTCTAGGCAATTGGTACAAACAGATGCCCGTCACTGGACTACATACCGGCCCGGGTGACGAGAGCATTTGGATGACAGATATGATGCAGTTCGACTTCGGGATGCAAAGTCTCACAAATCAAGCGCCCGCGATGACCCAGCAAGAAGCGCTGCAACAGGCAAAACGAGTTCGGCGAATCCGGACCTTCGTTGACGGTCTCGGCGAGGCAAATAACGAATTCACCGATGAAATGGAATGGAAAGATCAGTTCAAACAAGTTTACGACCACAGTGTAAAACGCAGTGGACTACAGGTGGCCGGATATGAAATGCGGCCAATGAGGCGGCTGTTCGTGTCGGACACTGAGCGATGCGATCTGCGCGGCACGGAAGAGCATCCGACGTTGCGCATCGATGAAGTGCCACGCAAGTACACACAAGGACTATCGATGGTCAACGCTTACCATGCACAGTTGCGGCAAGAACTGATGCGGACCGCCGGCCGGGACATGACTGATCAAGACCGGCTCAAGGCGGCGACACAGGCACTTGAGGCACAGCGACAGCGCGGGATCAATCTAATAAATCCGCTGCCCGATGGCGCGGACGATCCTACACAACATCTAGACACGGCCAATCAGCGCTTGCGGGAGGCGCGCAGACGTAAGGGTCACGAGGCTGACGAGCGGACGAAGCGAAAGCGGGTGTGGATAACAAGCTCGGCATTGTTCAATCTGAATAAAGGGGGCCCACCAACGCGGATCATATGGCGAGACCGATATGGGAAGGGATGTTTTGTGCGCGGTTCCTATCTGAATCGGCTTGGAGTATGCTTGTACATCGTGAGCGGGTCGAAGCAGTACACCATCGGTCCTGGTGACATGACGAAGGAGTCACTCGTGTATGCGAACGAGCCAGGGGTATTTCCGAATTTCGATGCCTTCGACCGCAAAGCGATAGAGGTGACAGCACCACTGCTACAACAATCAATTTACGACGTATACCAGATTAGACTGCATCAACAAGGGTTTCCACCAGGTTTTGGACCTGATCCGCACAAGCATAAACCTACACAACGCCAGTGGGCCGACACGTATGGTCGAGCGGTTGCTGAGCAGCACTATGCAGGACAAGCCAAAGTGACCCCAACGAAACAACGGAGCAGAAGAGGAATTGTCCACATCGTCAAATAGTTCGGAGATCATCCTTTCGTCTTCGAGGTCGTCCAACTGCTGCTGGACAATTCTGTCTTGAGGGCTCAAAGCCTGATGTTGCGCCGCAGCACCTTCTTGAAGCGACATTTTTTGGTTGATCAAAACGAATAAACGCTTTTAATCAGGAAAGTTGTTTTTCAGTTAAAGTTGACTTAACGTCCAGTTAGATTAACCAAAAAAGGTTAGAAATTCAGTTGAGGGGATGTAGCTAAATCAACAGTTCAATGAGTGAAATAACAGATGCACAAGATAACACGTTAAAACGTCAGGTTGTGAGCAACAGATGTTTCGCAGTCTTCACTTGCTGTTTCAGTATTTCCAACTTCTCTTTCTCTCGATGTTGTTTTCTTGTCCTGTTGTTATCGTTTTTCAGTTCAAACACAAGTTGAAATCACAGTTGAATAACCAAACGGTTAAAAATACAGTTAGATGTGCAGTTGAAGTAGTTTATTTCACAGTTATTAATCATCCAGGCGTCCCCTTCAGATTCACCCTTTATCTCTTTTTCCTACGCTGTTGGTGTTGTTTTTGAAGAGCGAAAATTGATTGGGTTGCTCAGAGAGAAATAACTGAGAAGCAACAGCAATTGCAGGCTTTTTCAAGTGATGAAGCAAACAAGGATGGATGTGCAGTACAGCGGAATGAGAGTCTAAAAGACTATATTTTCACTAACGTGTCATTATCATGATGAATTCTTGCTTTATTACAACGTTACTTGATTTCGAGAACAACACAAATTGAAAAAAACAACAAAAGACCAACAAATATTCAGATCAAAATCATGAAATGAAGATGATGTTTTTGGAAGATTTCATCAAAACAACAGATACACGATCGCCAGCTACGTGAACTACAACGACAACGACAATACCAAGATCAAGACTTTGAGAGAAATAACGAGAGTTTCAGCAACAATTCAACGTCAATTGCGATTTTCGATTTGGAATTCTCACACGTTTCCTTTCATTCTTCGACATCTTTCATTCTTCTTCTCACAACAACGTCATCTTGTGACTAAAAAACGGAATCCTTCTTCCTTGGCCTTGCAACAAAACGTCATCTTCACCTTCATTTCTTCACCATCACCTTCTTTTCTTCTCAGAATTTGCGATTTCGATGCACTTCGATCTCGATTGAAATTCATTTCTTCTAGAACACAACGCCTTTTTAGTTACGTAAACCGCCTTGTTTTTACTTAAGCCGCTTATATTTACAGTATTTTACGCATGTTAACTACATGATTATGTTTATTGACAATGAATCGACAAAATTGGCCTTAAATTAGTCACACAAATGAGGTTGCTAAAGAAGGGCGGAAGTAAAGCTTTATTGTGATTATTTCTGACAGTTAGTTGGATCAAACTTTCATATTTAAGGTCAAACCAGTCACACAAACGAGGTTGCTGGAATGGCGAATTCAAGAAATTATACACAAGTAGAAAGCAACTGGCTTTAAGAAACTGCTCTGGGCCGGACAGCTAGGCTCAAGAGATTGTACACGAACAAAACTAACAACTTGTAAAAATAGATTTAGACTGCTTGCAGTTTTGCTGCTGATAATACGGTTAAAAATCTACGGTTGCGTTTCAACCTAGGACAAGTGGAAAATAACTAGGTTTTAAGAGATTCTACAAGAGCGGAAATAACTGGGAAGGGGCGACAAGTGGCTCCTTGTTTCGCGCCATTCGTCACCCACAACTCCGATGCACAACAAAGAATTCATAAATGAAGTAGAATATTTCGTTTAAATTCTTAATGCGGCGTTTATTTATATGGCGGTGTTAAACTAAGGCGGGTTCGTAGAAGAAAAGAAAATCAATACCGCTCTCGGCCGGGCTGGTAGTCGTCAGCATCCATCATCATCGGAAAAGGTTCGCAATTGCGTAGGCACTGAGCTCGAGTGCTCCTGTCAGGCTCAGGCATCGGCAAACGTCGTTGCTCCTCCAAACCAATCATGCTGGTGTAAGTGCCGCCTTGAGTCTCATTTAAGCCAACCGGAGTTACACTTGGCGGAAGAGTAGGCGGCAGCGGGGGAGGTACTCGAGAGTAGTGAGAGAAGAGAAGTGGTTGTTGTTGAAAAGCTGCAGCATCGCGTCTTGGTTGTTGTTGTGAAGAAGGTGCTAAATAAGGTGCTGGACGAGGCTGGCTCCTCAGTCTGAGGGGCGTACTACGACGGCCCACCGGAATAAGTTGCCCCTTTGCGGTGCGAATGTACTTAGGCATTGCGATGTCGTTGGAGTTAACAGCTGGTTGGTTGCAAGCTTTAGTTGAAGAAGAGCTTGTTGTTCCTTTCGCCACCTCCATTGCGTCCTTGCGGCCACAAAAAGAAAAATTGTTACCGCCTTTCACACTCATATCTGTCGTAAGATCGCTTAGGTCAAGAAAGGGTTAAGCACGAAAACAAAAATTCTTAGTAAACGAAGGCAACAAATCAGTAAACGAGAGGAATTACAAGCGTAAGCAAATATTATTGATTCTGACAACAATTTAAGAAGAAAAGAGAAATTACCTTACTGTTGGTTATTTAAAATGGTAAACAATTTGTTTGCAACATCCATCCCTGAAGCTTTAGACAACACTTAATTCACACAATGGTTCGGGTTCTCATGAGTCGTTAGTCAACCAGATTTAAGAAAACAAACGTGGCTGGTTTAGAAATATGATTTTAACCATCAACCGTTCAAGATTTGAACAACCGATTCAGTTCAGAGGCCTAGATTTTGTTTTGGCACCGCATCGTGAACTCACAACT